CAGTTAAGACACTCTGTTACATTATGTTTGGTTTTGACCTCACTAAGGAGGACCAGTTAAAAATAGACATGTACTGATCACATTGCATGTAATTTTCATGCTGCACATCCATGATTGATCTATGTCATTTGATTTTATTGGTATATGTGACCATTGATGGGTCGAGTCACGATAAATGTGACGAAGGCCGCTTTGATCCTATATTGATATAGTCAATGGACGAGATTGTTCGGAAATACCATTTCAGTGATAGCAATTTTTGAGCTCATAAGGTTATACACAATTTAAGGAATCATATGGTACCCAAGTGGGAGATTGTTGGATTTAATCTAATAAATCTATTTGTGGGCACATATGATTAATCAACGTGTATTGCTATCTTTCAGGATAACCCACTAAAGTGATCAATTAAGTTGGGTTAATTTGGTATTTAAATAAGTCATGGGGTTATATGTGCAGATACCAGGTTGTAATTGTAATTTATTGAGGGGCTAAATTACAAAAGTACAACATCTATAAATAAGGGGTTATGGTCCCTAACCTAGGGTTACATTCTCTAATTCTCTACACCCCCATCTAGCTAGAGAAATTCGGTTTTAGAGAGAACCCTAAGGTTAGAAGATCCAACACCCAAAATCAAGATCAAGCAATGGATTCAGGTATAAGCTTCCGCTCTTTTAGATCCTTGTTAATCTCTTTGAATTAATCATGGCTATATGGCTTTAGATCTCAAGTTTTATGATGTAGATCTAACAACTTTTTCAAGGGTAAGCTTTACAAAACTATCAAGAACTATTAATAATTTAATTTGTATAAAATGATCATAACTAAGATGACGTATTGGTAAATTAGATGAAAAAATCCCGGAAATGTCATACGCATATTCATCCAACTTACACTGACGTTCCTGACAGATCACTGAAAAGGTTTATGCTAGGTTTATAATGTTTTCGTGTAAAAATTATAATTTATTATGATTGTTTGTGAAGGGAACTTGCTCATATCAAATTTTAATAAAAGCTCGCTTCAATACTGATCATGTGTGGTTGTTGCAAATTACACTAAACCCCAAGAACTTTTTAGCATTTTGCAATAAACCCCCAATAACTTATAAAATCACAGACCCGGCCCCAACAACTACTGGAATTGTCGAAAGCCCGCAATAAGTTTTCGTGTTTTGAAAATAATGCTCACAATAGCGTCGGTCCACTGTTTGCGTTGACGACACATTCAGATCCTAAATATGGACTGACGTTGTCATGGGATTATCTACAAAATGCAGAAACTTATCAGGGGTTTACTGCCATTTTAGAAATTATTGGGTGTTTACTGCAAAATGTTGAAAGCTCTTGGGGTTTCGTGTACTTTGTTCTTTCCTAGCTTCTTCTGCTCTACTTCTCTTTCCTCGCTTCTTTTTGCATATTGTGCATCTATTTCTCTAATTAATAATCTTTTTTTTCTTCTTACATCTTCTAGTTTTTTGCAAAAAATGTGACGGACAAGCATCTTTAATATCCTGCGACAAGTTTGGTGTGTTTGTACTGTTCTATGGACCCTTCTTATAATTTCCATATATCCTAGATATTATTATTTCCTGCTTTGCTGTCTGAAGCTTTATTGCGTGTGTCATCTGTGGTGGTTGTTCACTTGACTTGTAACTTTTAGCCAAGAAAAAGTGTAAACCTAGGTCTCTCTGTGCCCTTTGAGGTATAAGCTAGTAATTGTGTTGCAAAGACTTTATCAATCAAGATTATTGGAGAAAGATACATTTTTTAAAAGTTTTCCATAGTTTTATATCGGTTTAATTTGGCATTAATTAGTTTTCCAAAGTTAAATATTGATTTAATTTGGTATTATTGCGATGGTCAGCTTTTAGAAATCAACATATTTCGCCTTATCTTGCGAGATATTATCTACTTAATATGGAAAATATTTTTGTATTATTTAACAAACATATTCTTTGTTTGGGTAAGCAACATAGAAGAGTAACTCATGGATGTGGAAACAACTCCTAAAAGCAAGAAACATGATGAGGGATAAGATGGGTAGTGTTGACAACTTATTGAATGCTATTAATGGTAGTTGTGTGAATGATAATGTCAGTATATCATCGATTTACAGGAAATTTTTTCAGCAGCAGACTAATTTGTCTGAAGGATCAGGGACTATATTGGGGGGGGGGGGGGGGGACCCCAAACATTCATTTATCTTGTGGTTAGCTTCTTTCTCCACATTACCCCAAACATTCATTCATCCTATGATTGGCTTCTCTCTCCAGGCTACTTACGCAAGAAAGGCTGTGCAAAATGAGAGTGTTAAGCTCAAATCAGTGTATGCTGCTCAAGTGATCGCCAAATAGAAACATGTCAACTTATCTTCTTCGAATGTCAATACTCCGCGTGTGTTTGGAGAAAAGTGATGGAATGGCTGAAATTCAATTGGGAATCATGCAATTGGAACCAGATTTTCAATTGGTACAACATGAACTTGTGGGGAAAAGGCTACAAAAAGAAGTTGAAGAGAATTGCCCTGTCCATATCAGTTTATCTGATATGACAAGAGAGAAATTACAGAATATTTCAGTAGAAAGCTCGTGGACCTGAACGACTATTTCGTGCGGTGAAGATCTGTATATACACAAAGATTTTGAACGAAAATATACCACATCATTTGAAAGATTACATTGAAAGTTTGTAAAGAATGTTGACTGGATTTATATAACCAGTCTTTGGTTTTCTTGTAACTTTGATGTGCGCATACATTTTCCATACTTGGTGATGAAGAAAATTTTCATTCATTGACTAAAAAAAACATAGTAGAGTTGAATAGTTTGTGTTTTTTTAAAAAGAACTTAAGGCAGTACCGAGCTAGGCTTTGCCAGATTAAGGAGTAAAAAGGCATCTAAAGTCATTGTGATCGTGTCGGATTTTCGGATGTACCGCCTACTATCACGTCAACGAGGGAAAGCTTGACGCGAGGGCCAAGAAAGCAATTTTCTTAGGGTATGCAAAGGGCGTAAAAGGCTACCGCCTTTGGTGTACAGAAGATTCGAAGTTCGTGATCAGCAGAGACGTTACCTTTGATGAGAAGTCCATGATTGCTAGGGTGCCCAAAGATGGTGGTATTGAGACTATTAGGACTCCCGAGTCCCAGGTTATTGAGATAGAACCTAAAGACCAACCAGGTTCTAGTCATGTTCAAGTGGGAAATCAGGTAGATGATGAGCTTGAGCAGGAGGAGGTTCAGCAGAGGTTCAGCAGGAGAATACACAGACACTACAACAACAGCAGCTCGAGGATAGCTTGACTTCCACTAGGCCAAGACGAGCATACAAGCAGGTACAGAAGCTGGGGGCTGATCAACCCCTGAAGCACTATGGGCATGTTAATTTGGTTGAATACGCACTCTTAGTGGAGGAAGATGAGCCGGTCTCCTTCAAGGAAGCTATTCGAGACAAAGATAGTGAGAGTTGGTTGGCTGCGATGGAGGAGGAGATGGAATCTCTCCGGAAGAACCAAACATGGGAGGTGGTCCCATTGCCCGTAGGAAAGAAAGCTATAGGTTGTAAGTGGCTGTATAAAAGAAAGGAAGATCCTTCAGAGCTCGGTGGAACGAGGTACAAGGCGAGGCTAGTGGCTAAGGGGGTTGCACAAAGAGAGGGTGTGGATTACAATGAGATATTTTCTCCGATGGTGAAACACACTTCTATTCAGGTGCTATTGAGTATTGTTGCTCATGGTGATCTTGAACTGGAACAACTCGATGTCAAGACGGCCTTCTTACACGGAGACTTGGATGAAGAGATCTATGTGCATCAACCTGAGGGTTACAAGGTTGAGGACAAGAAGAATCATGTATGTCGCTTGAGGAAGTCACTCTATGGACTAAAGCAATCTCCTCGGCAGTGGTACAAGCGATTTGACTCCTTCATGCTAAAGCATGGATTTTCCCAAAGCGATTACGATTGTTGTGTTTACATTCGGAAGCTTCGTGGAGGTGATTATATCTATCTCCTGTTGTATGTGGATGACATGCTTATTGCATCGAAGAACAAGGTGGAGATAGATAAGCTGAAATCTCAACTTAGCAATGAGTTCGAGATGAAGGACATGGGTGCTGCTAGGAAAATACTGGGTATGGAGATTAGAAGAGATCGGGCGAATCGGCGATTGTTCTTGAGTCAGAAAGGCTACATAGATCGGGTGATCGTGAGGTTCGGGATGCAAAGTGCTAAGTCGGTGGTGACTCCATTGGCTCAACATTTCAGGCTTTCAAGTAAACAATCTCCCACTACAGCAGAAGATAAGGCACACATGGATCGTGTCCCTTATGCTAGTGCAGTTGGTAGCTTAATGTACGCAATGGTGTGTACACGCCCTGATATTTCACAGGCGGTTAGTGTGGTCAGCAGATTCATGGTGAATTCGGGAAAGACGCACTGGGAAGCGGTGAAATGGGTCCTAAGGTACTTGAAAGGTACCGCGGATACGGGTCTGTGTTTTGGTGGAGATACATGTCAGATCGACGGGTATGTGGACTCAGATTATGCGAGCGATCTAGATAGACGGCGATCTACTACTGGGTATGTATTCAGGATACATGGAGCTCCAGTTAGTTGGCGATCGATGTTGCAGGCTACAGTGACACTTTCTACAATAGAGGCCGAGTACATGGCTATGGCGGAGGGAGTGAAGGAAGCATTGTGGCTGTGGGGTCTTCTAGACGATTTGGGGATCGAGCAGGAAAGCGTAAACTTGTGGTGCGACAGTCAAAGTGCGATTCACTTGGTGAAGAATCAAGTTCACCATGCTCGTACCAAGCATATCGACGTCAGGTATCATTTTGTGCGAGATGTCATAGAGGAAGGCGATATTTCTCTCATGAAGGTGCATACGAATGAGAATCCCGCAGACATGTTAACCAAGGTGGTGACAAGCAGCAAGTTCCAGCATTGCTTGGACTTGCTTCATATCAACCCGTGTTGATTTGCCCAAGAGGGCATGGCCCTGCGGGGCAGTGATGGAGGTGAGGTGGAGACTATGTTGGAGAATAGTTTTAGAACTACAGTTAGCTTGATCCCGGTGGAGGGTACGTAGGCAGTCACGGTATAGTGACGCAGCTGGTTTGGCCTGTTTTTGGCCTAGGATCTCTTTGATGATGTTCGCGGTGTTCTTCTGGTGTTCGTTCAAAATTTGAAGTTTATCAAATGATGTACGAGGTGGAGAATTGTGATCGTGGGGGACAGGGAGGGCCCACCCACGTTTCCGCCGTTTCCTCTCGTGTGCGGACGAGCTCTCGTCGTGAGCTCGTGTCCGTGCCGCACGCGCTGCCTGCCCATGTGAGCTCGAGAGGACAGCATGAGTTTCGTGCGTCGTCCTGCTGCTCGCTCGAGTTTAGTGCCGCGTCGTTTCCCGCGCGAGTCCTTGTTTCCCGCCAGTCTATCCCGCCCACTAACTTCAGTTTTTTCTCCTATAAATAGGAGAGGTTGTGTGTTGTTTTTAGTGTGGGGAAGAGTGGGAAAAATCTCAAGTTGAGTTTTTTTTAGAGAAAAGAAAGAGAGGAAGAGAGAACTTGTATAAGTTTGGTATTTTTCCTCCATAGTGAAACCCCCTCCCGTGGACGTAGGCTAGTTTGCCGAACCACGTAAACATCTCGTGTTTGTATTTGTCTTATCTGTGAGTTGCCATAGCTTGTAGGTTCCCTCGAGATTTCAGTCCTTGAACTGATGAGAGGAAGAGTGTATATTTCACTTTGATGAAATATATCACTTTCGATTCTTGTTTCCCTTGAGAAATAAGAATTTCATTATCTATTCTCGTTTCCTTTGAGAAACAAGAATTTAGAGGTTGGCTTGTGCTTTTATGACAACAATAGCCAGGACTATCTCACAGGTGATATCGCTTCCGCGGCGGTGGGCGTGACTCCGGACCCAACAATCATTTTATGCACCAAATTTCTCTATAGCTTGTTGTTGGCATGTCAGTGTGTGACATAGTCGCATTTCAGAAATAATAAGAAAACGAGATGAGTTTAAATAGAGATCTAAGCTCCTGTGTTAATTAATTTATTTATTCCTCTAGCCTCGCCACTGTGCCCGATTTCTCATTACTAGATTTTGTATTTTATTTGGACTTTTATAACAGCATCACTCAGTTCATGTAGATAATTCAAAATAACTGATCAAGGATTGGAAAAAAAAGACGAAGATGCCAGCTTTAAGGTGCTATATAGGTACTCATGTGTGCACTGCACATAGATTCTTGTTGAAAGAATCTCGGGAGCGATCTGATGCCGTATAACAGGTCGTCAAGGCATATTAATTGGCACGTAAAAATGCACGTACAAGTAAAAACAAAATTTTGTTTACATAATTCTAGATTCTACATGATAATTTTAATATGACCACCTAATGTTTACTGTAGGCGTCAAAAAATGCTAATAGATATCCCAAGCATAGATAAGATCACTCAAAAATTCACAAGAACGATTTCATACTGTTTTTGTTGAAAAAAATCGAAAACAAGTATGATGTCCCTCCGCCGCGAGACAGTCTTTGCTGCCAGCCTCTAGGTCGCCAAGCGGGACAGTCTTGCTCCCATATCGCAAGCGACAGCTTTGCTGCCTCGCCAGCGGGACAGTCTTTGCTGTCTCGCTCAGCGAGCACAGTGTGATAGTCAAACTATTTGTAACTGCCCTACACGTATCCATTAACGCCAAGGGAC